TAACCAGAATAGATAATTTATACCATTCGAAATGTGCTCTGGGAGTTATGACGTTTTCGTCCAGAAGAATTAGGACGTCTCATGATGAAGTCCAAGTTTCTTCGGAAGCCATAGGGTCGATGCCCCTCCTGACAACCAGAGCGAAAATTCCTTTAGGTACACGGGACTTTTGAACATAGTGGGAGACTGGAAGACTATTTCAAGTTACTGCAGAGATGAAAAGATACTACCTAGATGTACTTCGAATCAGTGAAGCGTATTGCACTGAGGTAGGGCAACTGAGACTAGATTCAGGGGAACTGCTGTTATACTCTGGTCATGAAGAGGAAAATGCTTCACATACACAAGGAGTTGCACTGATGCTGTCCATACATGCACAAAGTGCACTGATATTATGGGAATCTCATGGACTCAGGATCATTAAAGCATCCTTCAAAACAAATAAAGAGAACATTACGATGAACGTCATCCAGTGTTATGCACCTACCAACGACAACAATGACGACGTCAAAGATCAATTCTACGAAAGGCTGCAGTCCATCGTCGACATATGCTCATAAAAGGATTTGACTATTCTGATGGGAGATCTGAATGCCAAGGTTGGAATGGACAACCCCTGATATGAAGACATCATGGGACGACATGGACTGGGAGAAAGGAACGAAAACGGTGAGAGATTTGCAAACCTATGTGCCTTCAACAAACTGGTCATCGGTGGCACAATATTCCCGCACAAACGCATCCACAAAGCCACATTGATTTCACCGGATCACACTACTCAGAACCAGATTGATCATATCTGTATCAACAAAATGTTCAGAACGACCATGGAGGATGTGAGAACCAAGGGGGGATCTGATATAGCCTCAGATCATCACTTGCTGATCGCCTAAATGAAAGTAAAACTCAAGATACACTGGAAGACGGGGCGGACAACATCATGAAAGTATAATGCAGTCTTTTTCGGGATACCGTAAAACTCAACGAATTCAAGATAGTCCTCACCAATAGGTTACAGGCCTCGCAGGATCTACTCAATGGAGAGAGAACAACCTTGGACAACGTTTAGAAAGGGATAAAGGAGGCAACCACTTCAACATGTCAGAGTATCCTGGGCCACAAGAATTATCATCTCGAGGAATGGATCTCTGTCGGTACTATTGAAAAAATTCAAGAAAGGAGGAATAAGAAGGCAGTAATCAGCATCAGCCGAACAATAACAGAGGACAGCCCAAGGCACAAGCTGCAATACACAGAAGGCAAACCAGGCAAGTGTGGAGGAACAAGGAAGGCCTCCCCCCCGTGACAACGCGAAGTTGTGGAAGATGCTAGCAAACGCACGGCGCAAGAGGCTGGCAAGAGAAGGAAATCGTGACACAATCTGTATAGATACAAAAAATAAGCTTCTCATTACAAGCCAAACTATCGCTAAACCACGAACGTGACACAGCTCACATGCAAAGGAAGACAAATTAATCAATCACATCCCGAAGAACAGCCGAAGATAGGATGGGTAGAGTACTTTAAAGAACTCTTGAATCTCCCGGTTCCACTGAACCCACACTACATCGAAGCAGCATCTACGGACCTCCTGATCGACGTTGGCCCATCGACAGTAGAAAAGATCAGCATGACTATCACATAAATCAAGAGTGGCAAAAGCGGCAGGACTAGACAACATTACAGAAGAGATGAGTGTGAGGACCATACAGGTGTAGGGAGATAAAGAATATTTTTCGCGAGATTACCAAGTTAAATCTTGATAGATCCCGCGGTCAGAGAGAAGACAGTATCTGGATGAAGAGGTATATTTTTCCATGACATCGTGATATCGAAATAATATGAACACCGGAATTAAGAAGCGGCTAACAACCATTGATGAGAGAAGTGGAATGGGAATGACACGCTTGGCGCACGAGAGATAATCTTTAGTATAGATAAACAAAAGGAGTACAATAAAATAATTATTGTTAGTATCAAGTAAAATAATGAATGTTTCCATTTCAGCAATTGTGTTTTCTTCTTAAAAGTATACCACCACAGCAGCGCCGCTAGAAACGGTTTACACTTTCGATACGTAGGGGCTTCGTGCGGAAGTGGGGGCTGGTCGGTCAGCGGGCGATTTTAGGGCGGAAGACATGATGGACAGGAAGCGACCAATGAAGTTTGAGTTGTCATCGAAAGTCTTCTACGTTGAAAAGTACCAGTAGTAAGGTCCCGCGATTTTGCTCCGGTTGGCGTGCCACACCAGTGTGGCTCGTATCCAGAGTCTGAAGATTGCGTTCATAGAGGACTGTACCAAAAAGAGATGCAGATTTAGGATGAAACCAGATTGAGCGAGGGAGCCAGAAACGATCAGAACGACCAATTTCGAAACCAAACGTATGGCAGATGTATTCGGAACCATAACAACGAGTGGGTTCATTGACAAGAGCGTGGGTGATCAGGCCAGCTTCCTCCAGGATTGACTGAAGTCGACGATACCAACAGAGTGATGGTCGTAGAGATTGGCTCAAGATGAAAAACGAAGGAAAAAGAGAAAGGTGTAATATCCATATAATGTGAGGATAGTGTCCTATTGAGTATCCATTATGCCTGGGCGGTTACTCGAGACAACGTACGTCTCGTGCTCACCTCGTGGGCCTGCTCTCTCATCCGAAGTCCGCTGATCTGGACGTGAGACCGGAGTCTCATCTGTAGATAGCGCAGATGATGCGTGCTGTTGACTGGGACGCAAGAGTGAGGTCAAGTGTGGCGTCCGAAGCAGCTCTAAGGATCCCGCTAGTCGGTGCGATAGGTCTAGTACTGGGTCTCGGATTAACAAGTAGGGCACTGTCATGACGTGTGCTAGTATCAGACGATCAATGATGACTGTGTCTTTTCGTGAGGAGAGCTCGCGTGAAAAGATCCTTCGTAATATTGTTGAGTACGGAATCTGCTCGTAAGAAAACATGCGGACAGGTAAATTACTGTCGAGGGAGAGTGACCTGTCGATGTTATATTCAATTTCACACCGGTGACAGTGTCCGCATCTATACAGATAGTCGTTGGACGTTATCTGATATACATAAAGTCGCTGCTCCGTGGCGTGAGTAAATTCCTCAGGCATATGCAATGTCGTGCCGTCTACAAGTTCAGAGGCGGAACATTGTATATCTGCCGTTGATGCTCTGTAATCGCTGTATCGTCTCCAACTAATGCCATCTTTTTTGCGAACCGAATGGAGAGAGGAGGCCCAAGGACTGTGAGAAAGACGAAGTAATACATATAGCAAGTAAACCGTCAAACTCACACTTAGCGGAAACTAATTTGTCCAGTGCCAGTCGGCGAGGTCTTGCAGTGACTGGGTTCTGCGAGTGACGATGTGGCTTACCACGTAATTAACCACCGACAGAAAATCCTCGGTTTAGTTACTTTGGGGAATTTATCAAATATAACATGAAACAAATAACAATTCAAAATATATATTGGTCATTCAGTACCTATCTGTTAGCGCGTTAAAACCCATGGACTTGATATACAACAAAATATCTATTAACTGCAGCCAACGTCAACCAAATAGCAATTCATAGTGCTGTAAGGAATCGATACTGAGTACGACTATGGGAACATCAGCAGGCATGAACGTCCATAGATACTGTCGTCGATCATTCAGGTTGATAGTTGGCTGTCGTTTACCCTAGACAAGAATGACTTAGGCCATTCGCAGTGCGTGGTGGAAGCATCGTAGCTTGCGACTTGCTGTTATCAAACGATACGACAGAAACTTGGGCACTTGTGGCCACCAGGTACCTAGCGTTAGTGCAAAAATCGTGCGCGTAAAATATACTAACAACATGAAGTGATGGGGAGGAGACAGTTGAAAATGCAATGACCTGCACCTAGGAGTCTATTAAATAATAGCTATCTACCATTTCGAAACGTTGTTACAATTATAGTATATAATCAAGGTCAGTAATAATTGTTTAGCAACATTATAAAAATGGTGATAATTAGACTCATCGTAATGGACTTCTATGAACAAAACCTCAGCTCACCAATTTTAGTGGCGATCGGGTCGAGATTGACTATGATCACCACTAAATACAAATTACTATCCCATCACAAAGAATGGAAATAAATCCAGGCTAAAGAATGTATTTGAAGGAGAAACAGGGCGCTACAGTGAACAGTAAGTTATAAAGGATGGCAGCAACGTGAACAAGAAGGTCGCGCGTAAATAAGTGTTTTTGGTACAGTTAAACTAAACGAGTGTAGTAATAAATGTTTATTTTTCACCAATTGCGTTTTCTTGGTACAAGTGTTCTACTACTTAAAAAACCTACAGTCGGTTTACTGTCAGCTTGTTCACTACAACTTAATCACCTACTATTGAATGACTGAGATTAGTTTGTTCAATATAAACTTGATACTTGATATATGAATAATATGAATACGATATTCATTTCGAAACAATGTAGTTTCATACTAGAGTATTACTAAATTGCAGTAAAATCGTTAATATGACGTAACCAGTTTACACACACACACACACAAAAATAAACAACTATCTATCTACTGTGTATAGAGATAGACAATCATATTGATTTACACTTCACAATCAACTGAATCATCACTTAACATTATGTATGTATGTATGTAATGAGTATATATTATAACTTGGTCTGATGAATCAATCTTGATTTGTTTACAGTAATCAATCATACATGAGATAATTATTGTAATGACAAGTTTGTATATTATTGAAGTTTACAGTAAATGAAATGAAATTCAGATTATAAATTTAAATAAAATGAATTGACCCCTGATAATTTTTAAGAAGTAAGAAAAAAAATAATAAGTGATTAAAGTTCAAGTAGAATCATAATCAATTTAAGATGATGGTGTGATTTTTTTTACTCTATTCAGACACAGGTCAGTATTATTGATCCATATGAAAATTTAATGAAGAATTGTAAATAGATGGTAAAACATATTTACGATTCATTGTAGTTCTTATTATGGTAGGTTATGTTGTAGTGAAGGAGAACACAGGTGAGGGCGACTGAATTGTATTTAACGAAAATTACAGAGTTTTACTCAGTAAAATAGGAAAACCATGTCGTAAACGGTTAATTTGCAAATCTTCAATCCATCATCATCAATCCATTGTCTGACATTTCACTCACTATTCATGCGTTTTATACAAATTCCATTGTGTTCCCACTCTTTCTTTCTTGATCTCCCCCCCCATCTTCTGCTGCCAGACATTACGTTTTCACTCGCGTCATATACTACTTATAAGTAGCGCGCACCACAATATTCCTCGTGCACTGATCGTCGTCATTGGGATATCACTGAACAACTGTTTTGTTTTAGT